ACATTCTCCTGACCCTCCTGACCTCTACATACATACCTTTTCCTCTTCTGATCCCTACTTACACCTGATGCCCTCCTTTTCTGACACCTACATGCAGATGACCCTCTAACACCTGACCCCTCGCCTCCTCTCCTGACCTCCTATGTACACCTGACCCCTCGCCTCCTCTCCTGACCTCCTATGTACACCTGACCTCCTCCCCCCCCCGGACTTCTACATACATTCTTTGCCCCGATCCCTATATACTCCCTACGCTCCTGAGTGTGAATAATGTGAGGTGTCCGGAGATAGCCGAGGATACCGAGCTGTCCTCCTCGTGGTCTCAGTTAGTTGTCCCTCTTGAAGAAGATGCCGAATCCTGCGACGAACAAAAAGTGAACCATCATCTGTGTTCAGAGAGGTCAGGGGGGCGGAGCTATACAATCATATCTTTATACCGTATGAACCGTCCATCCAGAGCCGCCATTTATAGACCGGATACATCCTAAATATAGAGCCATTTATCCAACTGTCCATCCAGAGCCGCCATTTATAGACCGGATACACCCTAAATATAGAGCCTTTTATCCAACTGTCCATCCAGAGCCGCCATTTATAGACCAGATACATCCTAAATATAGATCCATTTATCCAACTGTCCCTCCAGAGCCGCCATTTATAGACCAGGTACATCCTAAATATAGAGCCATTTATCCAACTGTCCATCTAGAGCCACCATTTATAGACCAGGTACATCCTAAATATAGAGCCATTTATCCAACTATCCTTCCAGAGCCGCCATTTATAGACCAGATGCATCCTAAATATAGAGCCATTTATCCAACTGTCCTTCCAGAATCTGTGATGTCACCAGAAACAAAAGGGGTCCAGGTCCGTGTTTACCTCATAGGGTAACAACCAAGGCAAATCTTCAGAGGAACGGATGTAAATGAGGTGTCATGTGACATAAATGAGGTGTTACGTGACCCACCACTGATGTCTCTGTACATGGACTAGCCTTGGGTGTGGACATTCGGGAGTTGCAGACACAACTGCAATGTGTGGCCCCGGGACGGAGGGGTTCCCTGACATTGATGATCTCTGTACTGGAGCCTTTGTGTAAGGTGAAGGTGGGAGGGGTCTAGTTATTGCTGGATCGGGGTTGGTTGGTTGTTGACCCGTGCACAGAACCTGGCTCATGTCTTGGAGGACTAAGTTCCGACCTTCATTCAGCCGTGTTATAGTTCATACGTGAGAGGACATGTACACCGCTTTGGACTTCTTTGTAAGAGGTGAGGAGGAGCTCTGATATAAGAAAAGACTAATTAGTCAGATCTCCATCACCCATGGAGAGGCTTCCTCCACCCTTCTGGGAAGGCGTCCACAAGGTTTAGGGGTGTGTCTGTGGGAATTTGTCCCATTTGTGAGGTCAGGTACTGATGTTGGATGAGAAGATCTGGATCCCAATCCACTCAACCATTTCCAAAACCATGGATGTCAATGTGGAGTTGACCGTCTAGTGACTATAACAACCTCCATGCTTCTGGGAAGGCTTTCCACAGATACTGATGTTGGATGAGAAGTCCCGGCTCACAATCCCCAAATCATCCCAAAGGTGCTCAGTAGGGTTGAGGTCAGTAGGGTTGAGGTCAGTAGGGTTGAGGTCAGTAGGGTTGAGGTCAGTGGGGTTGAGGTCAGTAGGGTTGAGGTCAGTAGGGTTGAGGTCAGAAAGGATGAGGTCAGTAGGGTTGAGGTCAGAAAGGATGAGGTCAGTAGGGTTGAGGTCAGAAAGAATGAGGTCAGTAAGGTTGAGGTCGGGGCTCTGTGCAGGACACTCGAGTTCATCCATGTTACGTACCTTCTGGGAGACCGAATGTGAGAGGAGGCTTCCCTTGTACCTTGTGTCCTGCAAGACTCTGATGATGGGAACAGAGTCCAGCGGGACAACAAGTGGCAGGAGGGCCAATGGTGTTGAGCACCGTGCAAGCCGTAATCCAATGAGACGAGCCGAGGTCAGGTTCCGAGCGGGCAATTCCAGTACAAGCGGGGTTAGGCTGAAGAATGGTCAAAGGCAGGCAGAATTCAAGGTTAGTCGAGGAAGTCCGGGTCACAGGGATCAAGCAAGATATCACAAAACACTGGGACAAGGATTGGCTGACGATAAACCAGCAACATGGTGGTACTGCTGCTGGGTTTATATAGGGCCGGTGATGTCATTTCCTGTGCGCCGCTATGGCGGATTTTCGTGCTGGTAGACTACTGCTTCTGCGCGGGATGGCGCATATTCGTGCTCGCAGGTTACTGCTTCTGCGCATGCGCGGGATGGTGCGTTCCCGAGCAGTGCGGGAACGTGCAGGTTGCACAAGCGCAGACGGCGGGGATCCGTTACAATCCACCAAACTGGTCACACCATGTCTGTATGGAGCTGGCTGTGTACACAGGGGACAGTCATGGGGGGACAGAAAAGGGTCTTCCACTAAGTGCATCTGTTGGTATTTGTGCCAACTCAACCAAAAGAGCATTTGTTGGGTACAGGTCTTAGATGTGAAGACCTGTCTGTTGATCAGTAGGGATGAGGTCAGGGCTCTGTGCAGGACACTCGAGTTCCTCCACCAAGCTGGTCACACCGTGTCTGTATGGAGCCGGCTTTGTACACAGGGAACAGTCATGGTGGAAGAGAAAAGTGTCTTCACCCAACTGGTCACCCCATGTCTTTATGGAGCTGGCTTTGCAAAACCATCCCCATTCATTTGGAGTCGGCCCCTTTTGTCGATGTAACATCCTCCACTCTTATGGGAAGACTTTTTACAGATCTCATTTACCCACGGAGAGGTATTTAAAGAGGACCTGTTCTCTGAGCCTATGTCATAATCCTCTTAGAAGAGGAAGGGAGCTCTGGGCTGGTTATTTCAGATGCCGGAGTCACATGATCTCTCCTGAAAGGGGCTTTGAGACCCGCACCCAGACAAAAGCAGCCAGTCAACGGTTGTGTTTGAACTGTGCTCCTCCCCAGTGGCAGAGATCACATGACCAGTGTGGTTTTACCAGTGTCATGGGGCTTTGTGGCCATTTGTGAGGTCAGGTCCTGATGTTGGATAAGAAGACCTGGTTCACAATTTCCAAATCATTCCAGAGGTGTTCAGTAGGGATGAGGTCGGTAGGCTTGAGGTCGGTAGGCTTGAGGTCGGTAGGCTTGAGGTCAGGGCTCTGTGCAGGACACTCAAGTTCCTCCACCATACTGGTCACACCATGTCTGTATGGAGCTGGCTTTGTACACAGGGGGACAGTCATGGGGGGAACAGAAAAGGGTCTTCACCAATCTGTGACCACAAGGCTGGAAGAGGACAGTTGTCTACAATGTCTTTGTATGATGGAGGATTACTAGAACCTTCACCGGAGACCCCTGAACTCATTCAGTTGGGGGGGTTCACATACTTTTGGTCACATATTATATAAACAGTTATTTGTGATTATGAATCTATTGGGAGATTTGTAAATAAATAAGTCAAGTCTTGCTGTGGGTCCAGTTGCCTTGACTTATTTTTTTGCCGCTATCCCACGACCCGGAGGAGCCTTCACAGATCCATTGGAGATCGCTAATCCAGCGATTTTCATTGTGAAACAAGACGACCTTTTCGGACTTTTTCATTCCTTTTTAGGTGACCCAGAACTTCTAGAAATGTATTTCCTTCTCTTCCTCTTGTAGTGATTATGTCCCCCTGATAATTCCGCTCTTCCTTCCTGCAGTGCACCAATGGACACCTGATGTGTGCCGGCTGTTTCATCCACCTCCTGGCAGACGCCCGCTTGAAGGAGGAGCAGGCTACCTGCCCCAACTGCCGCTGCGAGATCAGCAAGAGCCTCTGCTGCCGGAACCTGGCCGTGGAGAAGGCGGTGAGCGAGCTGCCCACGGATTGTGGATTCTGCCTGAAGGCTTTCCCTCGTTCTCTACTGGAACGGCACAAAAAGGAGGAGTGCCAGGACAGGTGGGTGCGGTCTCATCGCTGACGTCCCCGTCCCC